CTGCTTATGGGTGATCAATTTCCATAATTTTTCCAAATATATAAAAATTATGAATAGATACTTATATATATTTTAACATCTTTAAAAATTTATGAAGTTGTACATTTAAAAAGGAGGAAAGGATAGAAAGAATTATTTAGTCAGATACAGTATTCCGATAGAAACAAGATACGAATGACTCATCGTGAATACTCTAAGGGTAAAATGATATTATAAATATTAAAAAAAATAGTATTGTTTCTGTAATCTGCATTATAAACATATGTAATTTGTGAGATATGACACAGAAAAAATTTTATTTTAAGAAATTAAATATATTGTAAAGATTATATCTGAGTTAATCTATACGTGTAAACTGTAAATACAATGAAAAAAAGGTATGATCGCGTGATTTAGACCAATTCGATTGTTAATGTTTTATCTCTGTTTTCTAGAGTTACAGTTACACACGACTAAATTTTTACGTAATTAGAAATGAAGTATCGATAAAAGTAAAATTGTTATCATTACCCCAAAAATGTAATTGCATTACCATGAATATTATTCAGAAGAAAATGTAACATCGTTATTTATTCGTTACCGAAAAAAATTAATTTGTAACGATAATAACGTTACAAATAACGCGTTATTTGCCAATTCTGGATATAACCAATGTGATATATGTTTACATGTTATTTATTTGTACTTATATTTATTATACTTGAGCAAGGACTCGGCCTTGCTCTCATGCTCTCGATTTCGTAATACTCGTATGCTGTGTCGCTCTGTAACGCAATGTCGTCTTATAGCGCTCGTAATATTCTGGCATCACCCTCGGAGAGTACCGAATTTTATAGAAAAATTCGAGACTAATCGCGGCCAATCGTCGTGTTTGTCTAGATGCGAAATTCACTGATTGACTGCTAAACAAATTACTTAGCAGTAAAGAAAGAGAGAAAGAGATAAGACACAGAAAGAATACTCCTAACATTTAAATAACTCTGTACTATTCCCTACGTGCTTTAAATATCGAAAAATTTCAATAGATTTTGTAAAAAATAGTCGATTACATTTAATCTATACAGAATTTAATAAATTAAGTTCTTTTATAAAAGAGCATTAAAAGAATTAATTACCTTCACTAATACAATATATATATATATA